ACTGCAAACATCAGTGCTTCCTTTCACACTCGGAGCCCACCCTGTCCATTTTCCCAAGCAGCCCAGGATCTGTAAATAACCGTGAGTAAGCGGCATGTTTTCCTTTCTCCATCCTTCTGTGACCTCTCCCAGAAAGAGAGCCCAAATCCCTGTTGCTCTGTTCTCTTCAGCACAGCCCACCTTCGGTCTGTAGGTTAGCATCTTATTCTTCTGGTTATCTCGTTCTTTCCAATGTGTGTTTCTTGTAGTAGAAATTCTCCCCCCCTCCCCCAATTTTTTTTTTTTTTTTAAATTTGGGCATATCTTTTATTGCTGACTACCAAGATTGGAAACCTGTTTTGTTATCAGTCAGTATAAAACATTTTGATTTTAATCAAGTGAGCAAAAACTTCCTTCAAAAGAATACTGTGAGGAGTGTGAACTCCTTGAGGGAACCACTCCTGGTTCCACACACAGTCCTCTCAGCATCTCGCCCAGAGCCTCGCCCCAGGGTGGTGCTCCAGGGAAGCCACTGCCTGGATTTCTGTGGCTCCCTTATTGTTTGACTGGAAACCAAGGGCGCTTCATTCATTCATTCATTCCTTCAGCATTCCTTCAGTCATGCTCAGCATAGTGAACAAGACAAAGACACTGCCCTCCTGGGACTGTCATCCTAGTGAGAGAGACAAATGAGCATGATTACAAGGTGCCCTGGCTGTTTGGAAGGAAATAAACTTGGGGCGGAGATAGAGAATAATGGAAAACAGACGACCTTTCTAGATTAAATGGCCAGAGAATGGGACTTCTGAGCTAAGGCCTAGGGACACGGACAAAGTTGAGGGGGAGAGAAGAGGCTGCACCAGGGAGAAGGTGAGTCATCAAAGCCGAAAGATAATTTCCCTGAGGCCAGAAAAAGTGTGGCCTGTTTGAGGATCTAAAAGTGTGGCTAGAGGGTCCCGAGCAAAGGTTTGGGGCTGGGCAGTAGGTGATGAAGTTGGAGAGGCCGATGGGGCCAGAGATGTGGGCCTTTGTAACCTTGGTGAGTTGGGTTTTGTTCTAAGTGTAGGAAACAAGGGGGAAGTGATCTAACCCAGTGGTCGGCAAACTCGTTAGTCAACAGAGCCAAATATCAGCAGTACGATTGAAATTTCTTTTGAGAGCCAAGTTTTCTAAACTTAAACCTCTTCTAGTGCCACTTCTTCAAAATAGACTCGCCCAGGCTGTGGTGTTTTGTGAAAGAGCCACACACAAGGGGCTGAAGAGCTGCATGTGGCTCGAGAGCTGCAGTTTGCCGACCCCTGATCTAACCCATTTCTCTTATGTTTAATTATGTTTGTTGCTATGAGGTAATGGTGGCCTGCTTTGAAGGTTTGGATAAAAAACGTGGTTGGATTTGAGCTGTACTAGTATTTCAGAGATCAGATTGAAGAATTGGACATGGGCAGGGGTGTGGTGAGGGGAAGGGAAGAATCATGTTGACTTGAGCACCCTGAGGTGGGGAAGTCTGGGCAGTAGGGAGGAGGTTATGGAGTGAGGAAGGGGGAGGATTCCAGAGCTTTGTTGTAGATGTGTTAAGCAGCCGACTTACATGAGGTCATTGGGGACCGAGATGTCCAGAAGGATCTGATCTGGACATGTGAGCCTGGGGTAGAGGAGAATTATAGTCTAGGGATGTAAATGTGAGAGTCACAGCACTGAGAGCGCTCTGAGCCTTGGGGGGATAGATGACATGCTAAATGGTGGCATTTCCATTAATTCGTGACAACAGCTCAGCTACCCACGTGGCCAATTTGAGAATTTGCTGTATCAAAACTGTAGAACCACAGTTATTTTGCTGCAAGAAAAAACACTTGAAATGTATTTATGCTACCAATGACCAGGAAGGTGAAATGCTATACTTGGCGCCATAAAGCCATCCTCTCAGCTTGTTTTCAGAAAAAATCCATATCTGGATGGTGTGACCGAGTCATTAGTAGTGACTGGCTGGCTGTGTGCTAATAGGTCAGGTGTAACTTAAGCCCCAGAGGCCTCTGGGCAAGTCCGTTGGTCTGAAGGTGGCTGTGATAAGGCAGAGGAGGTCATTGGTGCCCAGATTAGCATCAAGGGCAAAAAAGCTGCATAATCAGAAACCTAGAAGTTTTCCACTAGAGTCCGGCCAGTTATTTTGTGAGAATTTCGCTGCTGGGAAGACAAGCAGGAAGGTGGGGAATCACGCTTACTGAACATGAGGGTTTATAGGACACTCTGAATAGCTTCCTTAGCATGCAGTCCTGTGCCTCCCCTCCTGTGTGATCAAATAGCTCAGGAGTCTCTATTTTTACCAAGTGGTTCTGGTGCTATCCACGGATCACACTTTGAGAGACGTTGAGTCTAAAAAGTGCTTTGAGGTCATCCAGGCAGCCCTTCTCACCCAGGGGAGACAGGTGTACGGAGGAGAGGGGCTGCCTTGAGTCAAAGAACAAGTTGGTGCAGCTCTCCTAACTCACATTTCTTCATTCCGCACTTTATTCTTCATCCTAAAGGTGGATAAAAAGCAAGTTTCCCCTCCCAGTTCTCAACTCCCCTTTCCTCACTGTATTTTTTTTTTCTTTTTCCAAATCACCTATCACCTTCTAATGTAAGAGGAATTTACTGTGTTAACTATTACTTGTCTGTCTTACCTCACTGCAATGTTAGCTTCAAAAGGGCACCGATCTGTTTTGTTTTCGCTGAAAAACACCCCCGCGTGGGGTGTGAGGGAGTGAAATGGGCAGCAGCGGCCTCCCCAGAAGCGGCTCAGGGACCTGTCACCACGGGTATCCTGTGTGCCCCGGACAGAGCCTGGCTCATTGTCAGTGTTCAGTGAATATTTGATAAATGGATGGATGGATGGAAAATATTTCGTTGGACTATAATTATAATAAGTTCAATGGGCATTGCAGGCAAGTGCCAACCTTTAGGCATGTTAGCTCAAAATAGTATAGAATATTTTCTTTTTTACAAGTTTGATACTGGCTTAGATCAGAAGTTACAGAAGTAGCTTATTTATGGAGAGTAATAGTCTTTTTAATAATATTAGCAACAGTTATAGAAATAACAGTGATAACTGCTATCATTTTTGGAATGCTTACCATCTGCTACATGTGTACTGTATGAAGTTCTGAGAACTCTGCATCCTTAGCTCATCCAGTTCTCACTACAGCCTAAGGATGGAGCAACTGGTGTTGTCTGTTTTCCGGAAGAGGAAACCGAGGCTCAGAGAGGTGCAGTTATTTGTCCAGGGTTACACAGCCTGTAGAGATTTAGGATCTGTGATCTGAAAGGGAAGTCCTTAACTACCAGCCGCATTCACTATCGACAGTTCAAGCTGGGGTGTTCTCTGCAGAAGGAGTTAGAAAAGCCAAAGACTAAGCAAGCATCACTTTTTGGGGTGTCCCTGGGCCAAGAACACCAACCTCCTAGATGGTATAAAACTACAGGCTGGAAAGGAAGTTGCATTTTCCCCCATCATTTCCCCACACTCGGGTCTTTCCATTCTCACATTACAATGGACCTTTGGTCTTCAACTGGTAGGCTTTTCTCACTTCTCAGACAACTTCCCTGTAGTGGGGCCAGTGGAAATTCCTGTGGTGACAGGTCCCTAAACCATTGCTGGGGAGGCCACTCGACACTCACTCACCCCCACTCCCTAAAGGAAGGGGGACAGAAAGGCTCCTTCACCCTCCTTCCTGACCACTTCCCGGTGGGGGCCTCAGGAAGGGGCCGAGGGAGGTGATGATTCTATAAATCTCTCTAAGATTTGAGTGAGCCTTTTGAGTTCTTAAAACCGATACCTATTAAAAGGGTAGTGAGCTCACAGGATTTATCACCACCTGCTGTGGACAATGCTGCATTCATTCCCCCTGCCAGCCAGGACTGGCCTTGCTTGGGTTCAGTGAAGACTCCACGCAGTCGGCAGCCAGGCCACTCACCCAGCAGCTGCAGACACAGGCAGAGCGCTCCTGGGCTTGAGTGGAGGAGGCCCGGCCTCGCACGCAGCGCCATCTCTAAGCACACAATCTACCGGGCACCGTGCTCGCAGTTCTAACGAGGAACATGATGAGGCGTTGCTGTCCCACTTCTGTAGATGAGGAAGGCCAGGAGAGATGGGCAACTTGCCTGAGTCTCACAGCACTTGCGAGAGGCAGAGCCATGTTCTAAACGGGGGTGGAGCTGGTTGTGAAGCGGGGCTGGGGGAGTCTGCTCCTCCTGCGATGCCGCCGGTGAAGAGCAAGAGCACGGACTCTGGTTTGGAATCCAGACTCCGCCGCTTCCTCGCTGTGAGACGCTGGCAAGGCGCTTGGCCACTCTCTTCACTCACTTGTTCATCTGTAACTGGGGGATAATGACATGCTCACATCATAGGGTTCCAAGGATTAGATGAATCAATGGATATAAAGCATTTTATGTGCTAGCCATTGTTATTAATTTATGTATCGAGTCCTATTTTCTTCTGTGGGTGATGGAATCTCAGAAGTTTCAGGGTTTCTCCAATCCCCCACCCGTGGGTTGTGTTTATAAGATGCTTATGTAGATAATCCACAGAAAGTGCTTAGAGTGGGGTCTTGGGTACGATTACCCCCAATAAATGTTGGCAGTGATTAATGCGTGTGACAGCGCACAGACCCTGGTGTGGGGAGAGAGCACCTGGTCCTTAGTCAGCATCGTCTCCTTGGTGTGGTGTCCAGATGCCCATCTCCTGGTCAAACAGAATGAGGAGACAACCACTAGTTTGTCAAACCGCTGTTGTTTTAATGCCTAACAATGATTTTATTATAAAAGGTAGGGGAGATGAAGTGTGATTCATTAAGTTCTCGGTCCAGGCACAAAGAAATTAGCACTTGGAACTCTTACAGGAAGAAATGGTCTCAGAGAAGCTTGGTGGCATGCCTTCATTTGAGTGAACTGCCACTTTTCACCCACCGCCTCCCCTACTCCGTGTGGTCACATGTTCATCTCCCTCCCTTCCGCCTGGGTGACAGTACTTTCCCCTTCTCTCCTAGCTTAAGAGCTGGACAGTGGAGGACCTTCGGAAGAGGCTCTTGGCCCTCGACCCCATGATGGAGCAGGAAATTGAAGAGATCCGGCAGAAGTACCAGTCCAAGCGGCAGCCCATCTTGGATGCCATTGAGGCTAAGAAGCGGCGGCAACAGAACTTCTGAGCCAGGCCAGGCGGGAGGGCCCACTCCCACAGCCTTCGCTGAGCTCGGATCCGATCGCTCGCTGCGCACGCTGGTAGGCCACCACCCGCCGCTGCTTCTCCAGGCACCGTGTGAACTCAGGAACGTGCGCCGGAGGGAAGGCTGCCTGCTGGTCAGCGAGCGAGGTGTCTCGGTGTGTGTGTCTCCGTTGGTCAGGTTTATTGTTTCAAAGGATTTATGTGGGCACTTTTAAACTCAGAGTTTCAAACCCCAGGAACAGAGACTCCTAGTCAAATGATAGCTGGGAAAGTTTTACATCGTCTTTTGTTTTTCTTCTCCCGATAGCTTTCAACTGTTATTTCCAGAAGACTTTTTAAAAACTATAAATATGCATATATGTGTAAATTGTAACTAGATTCCCCACTCCGTGTGGTGGCATCTCTGTACAGGTACAGTTCTTCTGCCTCTTTTCTGTGAGATGATGGTACTGTGGAACACAGGGCAGGCACACTGGGGGCCACTCCACTCCCAGGAGCCAACCTCACCCTTTTGCAGGGCTGCTTCTTTAAAAATTAGGTCCGGGCCAGTTTTCACCACGTCTCAGCCTTGTGTGGGTCATCCCTGCTCCTGGAGCTGTCGGTGGCGTCCAAGGGAAAGCCTTGAGAGGCGTGTTTACTTTTGAGTCCCAGGAGAAGCCTGGCGCCTTCTCTGCAAATTGGCCTTTGTGGTTTCAGCGCCTTTTATCCACCTCCATTCTCCCGACTGCCTGAGTCACCGCCCAGATCCTGCCCAGATCCTGCCCAGTGCCTTAAGAGGAGACGTGACCCAGCGAGGGGGCAGGCCTGCTAGGATCTCCCAGCAAACACGGGGGCTGTGATCCGTCCACAAAAGGGAAAGGGCTTTGAAGTTCTCATTGTTCATGTGAAGATCACACGCGTGGCATTTTGCACTGCATTCCTTACAGACGGGTAGGAGGCATGGATTTTGTGATCCACATTCAAATATGTGACTTTTTTATTTTTCTGCTAAGAGGTCAGGAAGGGATAGTGAATGTCAGACTGAGATTTGTTCTCCAGGAGGCTCAACCCACACACGTGGAAGCCAGAGCTGGAAGGGATCCTAGCTGTCATCTGGTGTGGCTGAGGCTTGGAGAGGGCAAGCAGCATGGCCCAAATCACAAAGCAGGTGGAAGTGGGAGCTGGGACTAGCCCTCGAGCTGCTCCCTCCCCTTCACTGAACCAGCAGCCCCTTCTCCAAGAGAAGAGACCCGTTTGGTTTTGGTTAAGTTACTCCAGGCAGGCCTGCTAATGGGAACTTGCTCTCGCTTTCAACGGGTGAGGCTGTGAGGAGATTTCCAGGGGAGCCAGATCCTGTGCCAGCCCCTCCATGGCCTCTGCACCATCTGCCGGACAGCAGACAGGCCTCCTGCAGGCAGATTTACGGCCAAAAGCAGAGCAGAGGGCTCGCAGAAGACAGCACCGAGCCCTTCTGCAGCGTTGGCTCAGGGCCACCCGCCACTTAGTCACACGGCAGAGAGGAGACAGTTGGGAAGGGCAAATGTGTTTTTATTCCCAAATACCTCTTCTTCTCAGATAGGGATCTGTGCCTGGGTTGCACCTAAGGACACTGAAATTAGACCCCAGAATTGCTTTTGCTTCTCAAACCTGGAAATCAATGGAAAGGCGGGGAATGTTCCTCTTCTGTGGCCAGATTTTGTTCTTTGCGATTAAAGCAAGTTTTTAAAAAATGCAAGAGCCAGTTGTTCTGCAGGGCGTGGCCAGTTAAGCGGCTGTGTGGCAGATACAGAGAACGGGGGACAATCTGAGGGCCCCCGGAATAATAAATGGCAGCTAGCACTCATGGACCACGCGATGTGCCAGGCACGTTGCCCAGTAGACCCTTTCTGTGTCCAAATTTCACAATAACTGTGAGGTGAGTTCTTTATCTCCATGTCACAGACAAACAGGTTTGGGGAAGGCAGTGTAGCTAGTAAGTGATAGAACCAGGATTCGTAACATCACTGTATGGGACCAGCATTTACAGGGGAAAGTCTTTTTTAAATGAAGGGACCACCTTTTCTCACTCAGACTAAATAACTCTTTAACGGGCATTTTTAAGCTGGAAACAGCTGAATTAGTAGTCAGGTCTGACAGCCAAGTGAATTTTAAGAACCAAATCATGGAGCAGGCTCTTCCCCCACACCGGCTGCTGTGCTAGCTAGCAGTCCGGCCTCAGCCTCTTTCTTTTTTAAAAAAGGACTTTGTACTTGGCCAGCAATGCCCTTTTTCTGTCTTCCTAAGCTAGATCTAAGTAAAACAAGTTTCAGTTTTTCCCCATAAATATTCCTGAATCTTGATCTGGAGTTTATTTTGTTTCAAGCATGTGTGCACCCAACATGCTGGTCCAACGAAGTGCAGTGCTCTTCAGTCTAGCTAGACATAGTCCTCTGCCAGAAACCAGTCTCCTTTGGATCAGATAAACTTCCTGACCAGTTGTATTTGTTTTCTAGTGACAGGAAGGCAGAGGAGAAAATCCTAGTCATGTTTTTCCTTGAATACTAATTGAGCTCTGAGCGGCAGTCATTGCTTAAGCACTTGTGACTCAAGCTTCTAGGGAATTCTTAGCCCCTGACTTGTTCTCTCCTTCTAAGAAACGATGACCCACACTTAATTGTGTCTTTAAAAAATCTTGAATTCTCTAAGAATGTCTTTATTGCTTCCTTATCAGTAATTTTGAAGCAAATTTCTGTTTTTCCTTCTCCATTATCCCTTCTCCCAACCATTGTATTGATGGATGTTTGGATGGATGGATGGATGGGATGGATGGATGGATGGATGAATTATAGACAGACCAACCAATACTCTGAAGCAACTTAAGAACTGTAACCTTAACTTCTTGAGACTATAGATTCTGATCCAGGTTATGTTTATTTAGCACCTAGCTGGTATGTTAATAAATTCAACAATTTAAGTGAAATAGACTAATTGAATGTACAAAATACTAAACTCACTCAAGAAGAAATAGATAAGCTGAATAGTCCTATATTAAAACATAATAGCTCTGAGAGATCTAGGTATGTTGTTCTCTTTTACAGATAAAGGCAGCAGGCTCAGAGAGATGAAGTCTGCTGCTCAAGATCACATAGCTAGAATACAGCAGAGCCAGAATTCAGATTCATTTCTGATTCTTATTCCAGTGCCCTTTCCAGCATACCATGTTGCCTCTAAAGTTGCCTCCTTATTTACTGGAAAACTGTTTCTGTCCACTCCACACCCTCCCACCCCATCCTTTCTTAAGCGCTATGTTTGTGTTTTCATCAGGATTACATTCACTGTCTTTGGAATCCATGTTCTTATTTGTGTTTGGGGGGGGGGGGGGGAATTCTTCCACCAGCTTGTACTCAGATCAACTTGGAAAAAAAAAAAAAGCATAAATGCTGTTGCAGATGTACAACTTAAAAAATGTGAAGTTTGTAGCTTTAACTTTTTGTAACAAAAATAACACTGGCTTAACTGTTGACTTGAAATGCTGTTTTATAAGGTTTGGATGTAAATAATCAGTCAAAGTCAGTAGTTTGTATATGTATGAGACATAGTTTCCTTCTTTGCCTTGTTGTTTTTAATTTGAGATGCTTCCTATGTGCTTTTATGTTGGAATTATCTTCCCTCCTTCCTTCTTCCTACACCTTTGTTTTAAATAAAGGCTGTCCTCTTTTTAAAAATGAGATCCTCCATCCATAGCCCGGATAGTGGTGTTGTGAACCTTCGTAACATTGACTTTGTATTATGCTTGTTCTAGAATCCAAAGCCAGGGGAGAGGTAGTAGAATAGGGAGTAAACTTTTGTTGATTACGTACTGTATGCCAGATCCTGAGCTAGTTAACTGTCAGGCGTATAAAGATGAACCAGACACAGTTCTTGCAGACCAGCTGGAGAGTCGGTCAAACGCACAAGAACCACATTGGAAATGCGGTGGCAGAAGGAATTTCACGGCCTGTGGACACATGAGGAGGGATGATCAGTTCTGCTGAAGTGTCCGAGGAAGCTTTTCTGGAGAAGGTAATGTTCTGGAGAAGGTAAATCCTGAATTTACAAGATGAGGAAGTGATGGCAAGCGGAGAAAGGGTGGGAAGAGAAGGCATCCTGGGTGGAGAGACCAGACTATACAGATAGTCTAGTGTGAGAAAATTGTTTATAAAACCTCATGTTAAACCAAACCTCATTACATTTAAACACAAAGTCAGTCTTCACTTAACATTGTCAATAGGTTCTATAACTTTAAATGAAATGATGCATCACTAAACCAATTTTACCACAGGCTAATTGATGTAAGTGCTGGGTTCCTTTGGCAGCTCATCAATGTCACAGCAAAGCCACGTTGAACGAAATGTTATTTTTCTTCAGGTCCTACTCCTCTGCTGTCTGTCCTGGTGGGGCTGTCGGTGACAGATCTTCCATTCTTTCCCCCAGCCACATGGTGGGCATGCAGCCCAAGCCAGTCCAGTTAGACTCAGTCTAAACGGAATTGCTCGTTTGAGCAGAGTGATATCTAGAATGGAGGCAGTTGTCCCTGAGGTGTTTTAATTACAGCACCCTAAGAGGTGGTTCATGGGTCCTCAATACCATGGTCCCCATATCACCCTTGTTCCTTTCTCAGAGCCCAATTGTTTAATCCTAGCCAGTAGCTATCCCATGCACTCCTTTTTTGCTTAAGCTTTCCAGAACTGGCTCCTGTTATTTGCAACTAACGACTCCTGGCTGATACAGAAATCAGAACAGGCATCGTGTCCTCCAGAGAACGTGGGTGTTAAAAATTACTGAGCTGTCATGAGGCAAGACACTCAAGGGTGCTGCTCATGCTCTGGCTCAGGCTCCAGCAGACCATGGGGTGCAACGGTCAAGGGCTACTTCCTGTGTTTCTTGATATGGTCTGACCACCGAGGAGGTGACTCGGCGAAGGGGGAGCTTTCGTCACAGTTCGATCTGAGGAGGTGAGGAATGTCCAGGCTGTGGGATCGAATGTTTATTTCTAATTGCACAGAATAATGTAAAGGGATAGTCAACAAAGCAAAGCCCAGAATAATCTGAGGACAGAATGAAACGGAGAGCACTTCCCTGGCCGTGGTGGAAGGTTCTCATGACTCGGCCGTGGGGCTGAGATCTCCCCAAACCAAAGTTGACAATGCATGCACAAGTTGCCAAGGTCACAGCCCTGCTGCACTTCAGTGAAGCTGGGCATCGGCAGGAAGCGTGGGATAGTGACAAGTGGAATGGCTCCATGAGAGGACATGGGGCAATCCAAAACACTGAGTGGAAGCAGTTCCCACCCTTCCCTCCTGGAGGAAGCTCCCAAGTGCCTGCTTGCCCCACCTCTCAAGGCTGCCTAACTGGAAGGTGGGACTCAGTTTTGGCCTAGCGGGTGAAAAACAGACTCTGAGTGAGTAGGAAAGAATCTTGGAGCCATGCATAAGTACAGAAACTTGTTAATTGATACCATCAGCAATGTGGGGAATATTCGTGGGAATGGATTTTTGTGGTGCTTGAAGGACGGGGGAAGGTAATTTGGACCAGGCTGATCTTCTTGACATGCAGTATGTACCAGAGGTTTTGCATTCTCCGTGCTCCGGCCAGGAGCTGGCTGGGTTCTAACAACTGATGAGTTGGCCAGTGCAAACTTGGACCAATCGCTGGCCCACATGAAATGGAACTTAAAGGCCTTTATTCTTTGGCATCAGAGAGGAAAGGATTCAAATATTTCCAAAGCTAGGAGGCTGGACTGGATCTCATTTTTGCCTCCTTCATGCAAATACCTCTAACTATGGCCCTCAGTGAACCCAGAACACTTGACCTTTGCTCTGAGGATAGTCTAGGCCAAGGGTTCTGGGTGGAGGGCTCCCAGATACCAGAGGGGAGAGGGAGGGCAGAGGTGTGGAAGGGCAGGTGTTGATATCTGACCCTCAGAAACTAAGCGGGAATGGTCATTGTAGTATTCAGCAGGCTCTAAATAAGTCATGATCTCAGGCTAGAGGACTCTAAAAATTTTAATCAGAACTGACCGCTCAATTCTTGATTGTATAACCAACAAAATAAAGCCCAAAAAAAAAAGTCTCTAAAGCAAAAACAAACACCCTCAGTTAAGCCACCACGACCGGTGCAGAGCATCGCCTAATACCTAATAGCCAGAGTCTGGTTGTTGATCTAAAGCCCTGTGAATGGAATATATGCTGACTGCCCTTGAGGAAGGACTGCGGTACTGCTGTTCTGTGGATGTATGTGAACATTTCCTGCCTTCTCCAAAAGGACCTGTGGCCGCTGACCAGGGTAACCAGGTGCAGAAGAAAGGCAAACACTAAAATCTTTCAGGGAACCTTGAAGAAGACTTGGAGCTAATATGTTCATATCAGTGTCTTGGGCCGAAGAGTACCACTTACTGGAGGCTCACCACCGTGTGGAAAATAATGTTTTGACCTTTTTCCATGTCACCGGAGGTCTAGTGGATCCCAAACCTGCCCTCCATCTCCAGTTTCTGAGTGATAGTTTGTAAAGATCCCCCCTTAGCTCCCTGACCCGTGGAAGCCAGTAGAATCCAATTGAGCCACTGTCCCAGAATAGACACTCAGCAGTGGTATCACATCTCTGAGGAGGCTGCAGAATCAGGGACCCCACCACAGACCCTGGAGAGTGATGACTTCTATCAAAACAGTTTCCCCTGTTTGACCAGCACAAGGCTGGATGGGTCTTGGAAACTGACAGGAGAGTATTTTAATCAAGAGGCAAATCTAATTTTAATCGCTGTACTAGGTATGTGCTCCGTATTACACCCCTGGAGCCATGGGCATCTCTTGGTTTAATTCTCTCTTCCAAGAATTAGAAACCACCAGAAGCCTTTTGCTGGAAAGGGTAATAGTTTCCTTTACTGTTCACTCCGGGACACCTGAGTTCTCTCCCAGCTCTGCATCTGAGAGACTGATTCCCTGATTCCACTACAGGACATCAAACTGATCTGCCACATTGGTTAAATTACATCGATAGGGCCTAGAGGGCAAAGATCATTTCCTAACATTAGACACATTTATAAAACATGTTTAGGAAGAACATGTGCTGGGCAGCCACGAGTTGGGATGTAGTGGAAATGTACTATTTTTGCCTGTTAACATCTCTCTCCTATATTTTGGATGGGTACTGTGAGCAGAATGATCCAAGGAAAGGTGATGGGAGGAGAGTCATTTGAATGACAGTATCCTAAACAGAAGGTTCATGAGTCCTCTACTTCAGTCCTAGAGGTCTCCTCATTCCTGTATTTCCTGAGGCGTGGTCATTCAGCCTGTCCTTGATTGGGTGAGCTTCACCAATCCTCTTTTATAATAGGCTGAATGGTGGTCCCAAAGTTATGTCTACACTGTAATCTCAGACCCGTATATGTTGTATTTTTTTTGTTTTGTTTGTTTTTGTTTGTTTTTTTGGGAAAAGGGTCTTTTGGCAGAAATAACTAAGTTAAGGATCTCCAGATGAGAACATCTTATATTATCCCAGTGGGCCCTAACTACCATCACAGGTGTCCTTTTGAGAGAGGGGCATTGGGAGAATGGACACACACACAGGCTGTGATGACAAAGGCAGTGTTTGGAGCGATGCAGCCACAAGCCAAGCAATGGCAGCGGCCACCAGAAGCCAGCAGCCACCAGAAGCTGGCAGAGGCAAGGAGAGAATTGTCCCGCAGAGCCTCCGGAGAGAGTGTGGCCTGCTGACACCTTGATTTGGGGGTTTCTGGCCTTCAAAATGGTGAAGGGATTCCGTAAGTCTGTTGTTTTAAGCCATCAAATTTGTGGTGATTTGTTATGCAGCCACAGGAAATGAATACATCTTCCAATAAATTCATTTTTTTCCCTTAAGGTTTCTTTTGCTTGTATCCAAAGAACCCTAGTTGTAAATGTTGTTCATCACTTCCATGATTGAGGCTAGTGAATTTCCCTCTTGGACCAAGTTAATTCCAGCTGGATTCCTGTCACTTGCAACCTGTGCCCAGTGTAAGACTGGAACCAGAGGTGGGGATTCTGAGTCACTCCACGTTACCACTCCGCCCTCCCCAATCACCCAGAAAACATGCCAGGCAGCCAGTTCCATACAGGCGCAAACAGGCCCCTGGGCCCAGCCTCTTTATTTGCATAATGGCTACATTGATACACGGGAGTGGGAGGAAGCTGCTGCTTTTCTGCCAGGACCACACACAACCACACGATAGACTCAGGCCAGATTCTCCTGAGCTTTCCCCACACCAGCTTCAGCGCCTTGTCTGTGGGGTCAGAGAGCCTGGAAGCTAGCTGGCTACTCACTGGGTTTAGCAAAACCATGAGGGTGGTTGCATGCAGCCCACATGGTCTCTGTGCCTTGACCTGGGCAGAGCTGGACTTATATGTCACAAAGTGAACATGCGGGAGGGCCAGTGGTGTGTGTGTGTGTAGTCAATTCATGGGTGGCCCCTTGGCTCAGTTCAGTCTCTGCTCTAATCTGAAGACTGAAACCATCTACGTCCGGAAGCCTATGCACCAGGCCCTGTGTATGATATGAGGCCTTCACACATGCTGTTCCCTCCGCTGGGTATACACTGCTTTCCTGGAGCCGCCCCTCCCCCCCCACAACTGGCTAATTTCTATTGATCCATATGTTAAACTGTCCACTTGCTCAGGAAAGTCTTCTCTGACCGTCTCAGTCAATGGTCCCTGCTATATTATATACCCTTATAGTTCTTGTATTTAGTAGAGCTTATTATTTACTCACGTGATTATTGGATTAAAATCTGTCTCCCCACTAGTCTGTATGCTTCAAGACACAAGGATATATATTTTGCTTGGCATTCAATCTGCTGGATCTAATAAGACGCCCATAAATCACAGCCAACGTGGGTAAAGTAAATTGAAGTGGTGGGGCTAACACAGGAGCGACTGTGTGTGGGGTGCGGGCGGGGGGTACGATGGGGAACCTGAGACTGCACGCCTCACCCAAAGGCATTCACGTTTTTTAAAATATACTAAAAATATTGTCCCGCTAAATGAAATCTGTCTGCAGGCCACATGTGAAGCCCCAACTTACGACTTTTCCAGTGGGTATTTGTTGAATGAGAGAGTGTAGAGTCTACAAAGAAATCATTGTAAAAGCCTCAAAAAAGCAAGGAGGGAGAGGGGACAGAGCTGAAAGGGCCCCCTTTTCAGGCCTGTCTACACCCTCTGGAGGGCAAGGTCTCCCTCGGGCTCTTTCTTTCCTCTTCCTCCTCAGTGCTTGGCACACAGTAGCTGTACAGATCAGTTGATCCATTCAGCATTTACTAAATACCTACTGTGCACCAAGTCCAGTTCAACTGGACCGTGTTCCCCATCCTGGAGCCAGTGTGGTGGGACAGACAGAGCCACAGCCAGACAATCACAGTTCAGTGATGGAGTTCTAGCAACAGTGTGGGAAAGGGCCATGGGGCCCTTGTCTCCCAACTTCTTTAGCGAGTAGAGAGGATTCAGTAGGTGAGCATACAAGAGATGCCCCCGCAAGAATGAGGAGCTGGAGCTGGCCAAAAGGGCAGGAGCCTCAAGCACTGGCCTGGCTGGTAACTCAAGAGATAGCCGGAGGTCTGCAGGGTAGGCCGACAGACACTGCCATGGGCAGACTGGGGAATTCAGGGTCGGGGGACAGGTGTCCATGCATGGCAGCTCTTGGCCACCATTTCTGAGCCAGGCTGGCTGGAAATCAGTACCTCCCTGTTCCATTGGCTTTCACCTCCCTCTAGGCTGACTGTGACCATTCTTTCACAGAATGGCTGAAACCTGGAGATGGGCAGGGACGTGCCCACTTCACACATCAGGTCCCAGTAGAACGAGAGCTAGACTTCAGGTCTCAGACCAGGGCCCCTTTTCTGTACCTGAAGCCCCGGGAGGAAGCTACAGGTGCTGCTTCACAAATCTCTCACATCAGCTGAGGAGGCAGCTCCCCTTTCTCCCGGGCCTCATCTCAGGGAGCCGAGTCCTTTGGACGCTCCTGGAAAAGAACCACAAGTGAGGTCCAGGACTCCTACATCTGAATCCCCCGTCTCATCCTTTCCCTCGCTCTGACAGAGGGATCTAAGTAGATCAACCCTAGGGCTCCATACACCTACTAAAACCCTATGCAAGCTTCGTGAGGGAAGACAGAGTGGAAGAAACACTGTTGGCAGACCAACAGGCATGGATTCCAAACTTGACCCTACCACTTCTAGTTGCGTGCCATTCCCGTAAGTCATTGCACCTCTCTGAGCCTTCGTTTCCTCATCTGTGAAATGGGGCTAATTCTCACCCTCCAACGACGTAGGGCCATATGTGATCTAGCTAATAGCAGGTGGCAAGGAATGGTTAGCATCCTTTCGACTTTCTCCCTCTGGCTCATGCTGCTTCCCGGATGGCTTGGAGGTTTGTATATAAAGGTCTCTGGGTCGCTCTTTGAGCTCATATCCTCTAGGGTGACACTGTCCTTCCCTGAGCCTTTGGAGGAAGGGACCCAGCTTCTGGGTGTCAATTCTCAGGCCAGGATGAGTAATCCTGAGCGGTCATGCTGCCACGAAGAACTTCAGCAGGGGACGGATCTCTGGTCTGTTGTAGCTGAGTGTAGGGGTGTGGGGAGGGAAACATGAGCCCTGGCTTTAATAAATCTTAGAGTTTGGAGGCTCACGGAGGGCCTGGGCCTCCAGGTCTGCAGACCTTCCCTCCTGGGAGGTCTCTCGGGATGTCTCCAGAGACCCCTCCGACACCCCATCCACGCTGCTCAGCAGGTCTTCAAACTCCTGGTGGCCGCTGTTGCGCACAGCGGCTTCCAGAGCCTTCTGGCGCCGGTAGAAGTGGGAGAACTTATTGAAGATGATGGTGATGGGGAGCGCCACCACCAGGATGCCCCCGAGGATGCAGCCTGAGGCCGCCAGCTTGCCGGCCACCGTCACGGGCACCACGTCCCCATAGCCCACGGTGGTCATGCTCACCGTGCCCCACCACCAGCAGGCTGGGATGGTGTCGAAGCCCACGTCCTCCTCCTTCTCGGCTGTGTAGGCCACTCCAGAGAACACCGACACGCCCACGGCCAGATACAGCAGTAAGATGCCCACCTCACGGTAGCTGTGCTGGAGGAAAAGTAGGAAGCCGAGTCAGAGCTGGGTGGCCTTACAGACCTGGCACTGGGCAGATGGGGAAACTGAGGCCCAGAGAGTAGAAGGGACAGGTCCATCCAAAGTCACAGAGCAAGGTAGAGCTGGTGCCAGGACCTAGGTCCCTGACTCCAAACGAAGGTCTTTTAACTACAATAATCAGCCATACTCCCTGGGCCTGAACACGGGCCTGATTTCCACTGTCCGAGGTGCCTGCGGAGATACATCTGTTCCTTCTAATGTGGCAGCAGCCGGTGAATGAAAGGCCTGTGATATTTCTACTCTTGCAGAATCAAGAGAGAGCCACAGTTTATATTCCACAATGCAAAGGGTTGGTTTCGTATACTTTTGACTGGTTGGCCTCATTCTGGTAAGTACAAAAATATTTTCTGCCTCTCAAGGAAGCTGAGAGGATATATACGTTCCCTAGACCCCTCACAGAATGCACTTGCTTATAGGTATGTATATTTGCTCTGCCCGAGGCCAAGCCCTAGGGCAGTGGTCGGCAAACTTCGGCTCGAGAGCCATATGCAACTTGCGAGCCACATGCAGCTCGAGAGCTGCGGTTTGCAGCTCTGTTGACTAATGAGTTTGCCGACCACTGAGATAGGGGCTTAATCACAAGGAACAACAACAGCCTGTAATTATTGGAATCGAGAGTCTAGATCAGTGGTCGGCAAACTCATTAGTCAACAGAGCGGCAAACTGCTGCTTGTGAGCTGCATGTGGCTGGAGAGCCGCAGTTTGCCCTAAGGCTGTAGTTCTCAACCAGGGCAGTTCTGCTAACCCAGGTGATATTTGGCAATATCTGGAGACATTTTTGATAGTCACAGTTGAGACAGGTGTGCTACCGGTATCTAGTGGGTAAGAGGCCGAGGATGCTTCTAAACATCCTTCAATGCACAGGACAGCCCCTCACAACAAAGAATTATCTGGCCCCCAAATGTTAATAGAGGTGAGAACTCCTAGTCTAGAGCAGGGCTCCCAAAACTGTTTAAAAGGCAGAACCCAATCAAGGAGGTCTGGCGTAGGGTCAGGGATTCTGCAATTCTAGCAAGCTCCCAGCTAATGAGAAAGCTGCTGGTGGTCAGGGGCCTCGCTCGGAGTAGCCAGGCTCCCTGTCGGGAGTCTTACAGCTGTCTCTTAGACCCTGGAAGCCTCCATCAGTACTCTTTCCCTCCTCGTAGAAAGAGCTGGTGGCCTCGGGCCCTGGCTCCCTGCATGCTGAAGGCAAGGCAGAGTTCTGGGATGGAGGGGTCATCTCTGGAGAGGCGCTGAGTGCAGGGTGTCTAGCTAGTGGAATTCTATCTGTCCATTGCCCCAGCATTCTGCCCGGGGTCACCCTGCCTGCACCCAGCATGCTGGCCTCCCTGCCAGGGGGCATACAAAAGGCTTTTCTAAGCTGTGGGTGGAAGGGATAACCAGCATCTTCCAGGGATCGTTAGCAGGGGGTTTAAGAGGAGGGTTTAGGAGGAAGAACGTGAGGTGCTGGAGTCAGGCACAGCTGGGTTCTTCTCTAGGCTCCGCCCCTCACAGAGGAACCTCCAACAAGTCCTGTCACCTCTTGGGGCCTCGGTTTCCACATCTGCAAAGTAGTGACAGTAATACTTGCCCCTGCTTATACTCCATTTCCCTTGGGATAAAGTCCAAAATCCTCAGCCAAGGGGTCATGGCCCTTCAGTACCCTCTTCAACCTTATCAACTGGCACCCCTCCCTCCATGTCCCTCTCCCATCATCCATCCTGTTCTCTCTTCAGGCCTCTGTCCAAGCTGTTCACGTGTCTGCTCTCCCCCCCTCCCCAATCCAAGCAGATTTCACCCCTCAAGGGTAAGCTTCCCCGGGCAGTGATTCACCCCCAGTGCAGGGCCTGGCTCACAGAGGGTGCTTCAATTAATTGCAACCAGGCTTTAAAAAGCCAGCCTCAGGCCTGTCATCTACGGGAAGGGAATAAATAAGCGCATCTTTCAGGGGATGAAATCGATAATGTTTGTGAAAATGGCACCGAATTAGCACTCAGTGTGAGCTCTGGGGCTGTACTAGACTTGTCTACTAAGCAAGCCAAGACCTATGATACCTGTGGCCCTTTATAACCTCGGAAGAACGGCTCAGTGGAGAAGCCAGTTAGCATCCTGCGTTGCATATTGTGCTACGCATTATTTGATATTTGACACATAGATCAGAAGTGACCTTCCTGTTTTATTTTTAATTTTTTTGGAAAGGAGGACCAGCACAGCCCTGCGTCAGTTTTCTCCCATGGGGCACAGAGATAACCGGAAGGCTGGGAAGGTCGAATTGGACGTGAAATGTACACCTGCTGTCTGGCCCTGTGCCTGGTATAAAGGATGTGTGCTTCAGTCCACCGTGTGCCTGGACACAGCAGGCGGTTATGTGCATCTGCCGACCTGCCCCCTGGTTCCACCTGCCTCCCCCGCAGCCCCGCGCCCGGCCTCGGAGGCCCTACCTTGAGGGTGGCGCCCAGGGAGCGCAGGCCGGTGGAGTGGCGCGCCAGCTTGAGCACGCGGAAGATGCGCATGAGGCGGAACACCTGCACCACCTTGCCCAGGTCACCCAGATCCTCGCCGCCCGCGCCCCCCTGGTCGCCGAGCGCCGCGCCGGCCATCAGCGTGAGGTAGAAGGGCAGCACGGACACGATGTCGATGAGGTTGAGCGGGTGGCAGAAGAAGTTGCGCGGGCTGGGCGCCAGCAGGAGGCGCGAGGACACCTCGAAGCTGAACCAGGCGATGCAGAAGTACTCCAGGCGCCGCAGCACCGGGTCGTCGCGCACGGCCTCCGGGCTGCGGCCCGCCGCCACCGCCGCCACGGCCGCGGCCGCCTCGCGGGCCTGGTACTCGGGCAGGCTGTGGATGCACATGGCGGCGATGGAGGCGAGCACCACGCCGATGGACACGCAGCTGAAGAGCTTGCTGGGCAGCGAGTAGCCCGGGTTCTCCATGGTGAGCCAGAGGCGGCGGCGCAGGCGGCCGCAGCGCGCCGCGCCGTAGCGCGCCAGCTCGCGCTGCACGTCGGAGATCTCGCCCGGGTTCGGGTCCACGCTGCTCGGCGCGTCGCTGTCCTCGTCCCAGGCGCGCGGCCGCGCCACCCGCCGCTCCTGGTAGCGCGCGCGGCAGCACGCGGCCAGCGCGCCCTCGCCCAGGCCCCAGTACTCGGCCTCCTGGCCGAAGGCGAACACGCACAGCTCGTCCAGCACGTGCAGGCGGCCGGTGCGGTAGAAGTGCAGCAGCCCCAGGAAGAAGCCCGGGTGCCGGTCGAAGTAGAACTCGCGGGCGGCCGCGTCGTAGTCGTCGCACAGGCGCCTCGCCTGCTCCTCGGACGCCGCGGCCTGCAGGCGGCCCAGCCGCGTGCCCGGGAAGCGCGCCAGGGCGCGCGCGCTCAGCCGCCGCCGCACGCCGCCCACGTTCACGCTCAGCGCCTCGTCCCTGCGCCGCCAGACGGCCGCGGCGCCCGGCTCCGGGGACTCGCTCACCATGGCGGTGGCGCCCTGCCCTGCGGACACGGGAGAAGCGCCCTTAGGTGGGAGGGGAGGGGTCCCGGGGTCCCCGGACTGTCCTTACGGGAAGATCATCAAACCCCCCGTCCCATTTACCACCCAGGGTAAGGTGACCAGACGTCTCGATTTTTAACAATTTGTCCCGCAGCGTTTTTAAAAAGTCCCGTTTTTGGAAAGATTCTTTCAAAAAATTAGGACTTTAAAAAAATATAGTTTATTGATTTTTTTTTACAGAAAGGAAGGGAGATAGTTAGAAACATCAATGAGAGAGTCATTGACCAGCTACCTGGGGGTGTGCCCGCAACCAAGGTACATGCCCTTGACCGGAATCGAACCCGGGACCCCCCAGGCCTCAGGCCGAAGCTCTATCCACTGAGCCAAACCGGTTTCGGCTAAATTGGGACTTTTTTAAAACGCCCCGGGACGCCGGACAAATTGTTAAAAAGCGCGACGTCTGGTCACCTTAACCAGGGGTGTCAGATGTGTCTGGTATGCAGTAGGCGCTCAGTAGGTATCATGCCCTCTGGACTGAAGAGTCGGGCTTCGGTTGGACGAGTCCTCTGACTGGGGGACTTTGGTCAATCACTGAGCCTCCCCACCCTCACTTCATGGGCACAAACAAACGCTGAACCTACTTTGGAGGCAGGTAGTCTGGCATCTGGGGGGAGGGATGCTTCTATAGGATGTCTCCCTTTCCCAGACAGAATTTGAGTTTTGCATCCATCCCAGAGGTCTCCTGTGGGATCTTGGACACGCCACCCTCAGAACCTAATTCCTCCTTAGCAAAATGGGGACAGTGAGTGCTTCCCACCGAGGGTTGTGGGGAGAGTCAGTCTAGGCCAGTCGTTCTCAACGTGTGCTCCCTGCTAGCAGGGTTGGCATCACCTGGAAATTTGTCAAAATGCGATTTCTCAGCCTGCCCTAGACGGGCTGCGTCAGAAACTCTGCGGATGGGTGATTCTGACGCATGGTCAAGCTCGACAGCCATTGGCCGGGACTATTTACGGCATCTGCAGAGTCTGTCAGACTGAACTCTGGCTTTCTTGTGTGACTATAGGCAAGTCATGTCACCTCTCTGAGCCTCTGTCAAGTGGAGATAAAGATGTCCACCTCCAACGATGGTTAAAAGGTCAGCTGAACTACAATGTCTTTGTTGGGCTTGGCTCCCAGAAGAGGTTTAATACATCATCCACCTGCTCACTGTCTCCAAGCGCTGCTGGAACTGAGGGCCAGGGACTCGCCTCCTGACCTCGGTAATGTCATCTGCACTGTGGGCTCGGTAATGCCTGCCTCCCCGGGTGGACAGGGATGGAATGTGCATCAAGCCGCTGGCCCAGTGCCTGGCCAGGAGTGGGCAGGGTGTCCTTCACTTACCCTGGGCTCGGCGGGGAAGCGCGTTGAGGTTTTGGTCCTTAGATGTGTTATGTGGCCGGAGGCCAGTCTCCTCCCGTCTGGCTTTGGCTCTCTTACCTATAGAATGGGGGTAACAGCGCTTCAGCTGAAGGGTGGTTGTGAGTATGTGCGCAAAACCCCTGCAACACAGTACGTGCTCCTGCATGTCTTTCTGGTCGGACCTGGGCTCCAGTTCTGAGTCTGCCTCTTCCTGTTGACCGTGAGCAGACCCTGCTCTGAGCTTCAGCTGCCCCATAAAGCGGGGAGCACCGTCCCTCCCAGGAGAGCTGTGAGGGTTACATGAGGAAAGTGTTCACAGCAGCACGGTCCTGGCACATACACTGTGCACAGTAAACATGTGTGCGCTGCAGCAGCATACCACCCTCCACCTGGGCTTGTCATCAGAAAAAGGTTTCTGCCAAAACCGGTTTGGCTCAAAGTGAGTGTCAGCCTGCAGACTGAAGGATCCCGGGTTCGATTCCGGTCAAGGGCATGTACCTTGGTTGTGGGCACATCCCCAGTAGGGGGTGTGCAAGAGGTAGCTGTCTATGACTTTCTCTCATCGATGTTTCTAACTCTCTATTTCTCTCCCTTCCTCTCTGTAAAAAAATCAATAAAATATATTTTTTATAAAAAATGAGGTTTCTGCCCAGCTGGCATGACTGAGTGGTTGAGCCTCACCTATGAACCAGGAGGTCAGGGTTCGATTCCCGGTCAGGGCACATGCTCCAATTGCAAGCTCGATCCTCATAGTGGGCTGTGCAGGAGGCAGCTGATTAATGATTCTCTCTCATCATTGATGTTTCTCTCTCCCTCTCCCTTCCTCTCTGAAATCAATGTTTTAAAAAAAAATTTTTTTTAAGGAGGTCCCTAACCCAGTTCCATCACCATGAACTGCCCCTCTGTGGGCAAACCCCCTTCTCTTTCTGGAATTCACCTTCCTGTTTATGAAAGGGGACAATGAATTCAACAAACATTCCCCAGGAAGAGTCCGAGTACCAGCAGGAAAGGTTAGTGATGTGCCCCACAGCTAGTCCACGCACAGGGAAGGCTGGAAACTAGGTTTTGTGATTCTCAAGATTCTTTCCACACTTGTCCCGGTCACTTCCCTGGGCTCTGTGGACTCTTCCCTGGTTTGTATCCCTACCCCGAACCCTCCGGGGAGGTTTCTAACCCCACCTGACATCAGGATCAGCCTCCAAGCGGGGCCATCCAACACTGCTCCCTCCCTGGAGGGTCTCAGGGAGGGGCTGTGAGCACCGGGACCGCAGCCCCCACCTCCCTTCCCCGACCACGCCCCTCCCCGCGGGAGGCCCCTTACCTGCCGCCAAGAGCGTCTGTCCGGGGAGGCGCGGAGGCCGGGAACCCCCTGGTCGCCCGGGCCGGTCTCTGCCTGGCGGCCCCGCCGAGCCTGGCTGCTGTGGAGGTCCCGCTGTCCCCTTCTTCCCTGTCCTCCTCCTGAGGCCGCATCGATCGCTGCCGGGGGAAGGAGGGAGGCCGCGGGCGGGCGGCGGAGGCGGTGGTTTCTATTCCTGACTCGGTCCGGGGGTGTGAGGGTGTCTGGGGACCGGGCCCTACGGCTGGGACATCCTCCCGAGTCAGAGACCCGGGGAGGAGCAGTCCTTTAGGGGCCGGGGTCCCCCCTAAAGAGCAACGGTAATGACAGCTCCCTAAGTGATGTGCTGGTCACTCTGCCTAAGGAGGTGACTTAGCCAAGGTGCTGCTCATGCAAACTTGGCAGGGACAGGGGCTTATGCTCCCCCTTTTACAGAGGGGCCCTGGTCACCTGCTTAGGGCACTCAGGGGGAGTTGTGGACTTGAGGTAAGAACGCACCTCCTCTGAGCTGCGAGGCTGCCTGGGGGGCCTGCGCTGAGAGTTGGGGGAAAAGGCCTCACCCCCCCCCCCCTAAATCCCCCAGAGCCCCAGGCCTGCGGGAGACCTGCCCTCCCTGCTGGCTGCGGAGCCCAGAACAGATCCTCAGCCCCTTGAAGTTCAGTCTCCTCACCAGCCCAGAGGTTCCCGCTTCCCACTTCCGAGTGGGTTGTGAGGGTAAGGGAGAACGCTGACCAAGAGTTTGTCAAGGCTGTGTAATCTGCAAGCATTGATTGAGCACCTACTGTATGCCTGGTTGGGGACTAGACCTGGATACAAGAAAGGAGACTAGACCTGGATACAAGAAAGGATTCCTAACATTACAAATATTAATGGTTTTAAAATAATCATGATCAACATTTAACAAGCACTTATATTGGACTAAGTATTCTATAGGTCTCTCTCATTTAAGCTGCAAATACATTACTCCAACCTCACAGATAAGAAATGTAAGGCTCGCCCAGTCTGCCTGGCTCAATGGTTGAGCGTCAACCTATGAACCAGAAGGTTATAGTTTGATTCCCTATCTGGGTTCATGCCCTGATTGTGGGCTCCATCCCAAGTAGGGGGTATGCAGGAGGCAGCCAATCAATGATTCTCTCTCATTATTGATGTTTCTATCTCCCTCTTCCTCTCCCTTCCTCTCTGAAATCAATAAAAATATGTTACTTTTAAAAAAGGAGAAATGTAAGGCTTGGAGAGGTGACTTGCCCGAGGTCATATACCAATTTCTGAGTCCTCGAGAGCAGCACTGTTCAACAGAAACAACGCAAGCCACCCATATAACTGAAAGTCTTCTGATAGCAACATTAAAAAGAAAACAGGTGAAATTAGTCTTAATAATGTTGTTAGGTCGCCGAAGGAGGCATGCACGAGGCCAGAGTGGTGAGGGATTATGAATTTATTCCATCACCCGCACACCAGGTGGCTGAGCCTGCAGCGCTCCAGCACCCTGGGAGGAGAGTCATCGGCTTTTAAAGGACTTTCTGCGGATTTTTCTGGGCAGAGACCTCTTTATGCATACCCGGAGGGGAGAGAATGGAAGGTGGTCACCGCAAGTGAAAAGTGGTCTTCAGCAAAGGGAATGTCCATAGTGAAACAGATCCTGGGGAAGGGTATCAACTCAACTGCTCTATCAAACCTAACAAATGTATTTTGTATAACCAGTATACCCAAAATACCATAATCTCAACATGGAATCAGTAAGTAAATTACTAATGAGATGTTGCATTTTCATTTTTGTACTAAGTCTTCAAAATCCAGTGATTATAGTTATTCACTGCCGTGAAGTTACCACAAACTTAGCAACTTAAAACAATCCACACTTATTATCTCACATTTTCCATAGGTCAGAAGTCTGTGCACAGCATGGCTGGATTCTCTCTACCCAAGGCCTCACTTGGTTGAAATCAAGATATCAACCAGGGGTATGGTTTTCATCTGGGGCTTGGGGTTCTCTTTCAAGCTTACAGGTTACAGGCAGAATTCATTTCCTGTGGTTGTAGGACTGAGGTCCCCTTTTCCTTCTGGCTCTCTGCTGGGGATCCCTCTCCGTTGATAAAGGCTACACATGGTTTCTTCGTAGGTGGCCCCAGAGGCAATTCACAACATGGATGTTTACTTTCTTCCAAGCAAACCAGAGTGCTGGCTTCCTCTTCTGTGACCAGCCAGGGAAAATGCTCTGGTTTTAAAGGCCAGACCCACCCATGACCATCTCCCTTTGCCATGTAACACACACTCACAGGCTCTACCTACACTCAAAGAGAAGGAGATTATCCAGGGACAAGGGTCACTGGCAAGTATTTAGAACTCTGCCCATTACATCCACCTACAGTAAATCTCAATTGGACCAATCACATTGTACATGCTCAGTAGCCATATGTAACCAGTGGCTACCATATTGGCAGGCTTTATCACTTCAATTCTTCCCTCAAAATTAGAAAAGAGACACTGAGTGCTTGTCTTAGCCAACTCCCTTACTTTCCCAACAAGGAAACTGAGGCAGATCTGCAGAGAAGCAGGTCTCCCACTTCCTGCTCTGGTGCTCTATCTGCAGCCTTCAATCTCCCCAAAAGTCAGCGGTTCCCCCTGGAGTCGGAAAGGTTGTTTCCAAAAAGGTGTGACAGATCTGTTTCCAAAGGGCAGAAGGAATGAAGCCAGGATCTGGTTTCATCCCAGGTCATGCTGGGGTTTGAATTCATGCTTGATAGAAGTGGGAAAAGGGGCATGGGGGCCTTTGGGGCTGAATATATCCATCCAGTGCCATGGATGGGCTACTCCCCCCAATCTCCTTCAGCTGCTAGCCCCAAGGACCATCTGAACCCATGGGGTTTTACCTAAAGAGTAAGCTGGATGTGGCATAAAGTACAGAGATTTTGGAATTAAGTAGGCTGGGTGTGACATTGCAGCTTCTAGAATATCTCCCAATGACGTCTGCCTCCGGGTATTCATACCTTTGTGTAATCCTTCCCCTTTCGAGTAAGACTTCCTGATTTGTTCCTAATGAACAGAATGGGACTAAAATGATAGAATGTCACTTCCCGGATGAGGTTACAGAACAGTTGGCTCCGGGCTGGTTTTAATGAAGCAAATCAAGTGCGGGAAAGACGAGGAAGTAAGGGCAACCTCCCACCAACCACCAGCTAGGAACTAAGGAATTAAATTCACATGCCCTCAAAAAACTGAAATTCTGTCAACAACCACATGAACTTGAAAGCGACTCCTTCTCTAGTCAAAGCTCAAATGAAACCCCAACCTTGGCCAATATCTTGTCTTCAGCCTGTGAGACCCAGAAGCCCAGGACCCAGATTCTATCGGCGCACAAGCAGCCACCCAGCAGGTAAAACAGGGAGGATTCTGCCCACCTCACCCTCTCCCCAAGCAAGTCCTGGATAAAGGGACAGCCAGGAATCCAGCTATCGGGGTCCAGAAGTGTCTCTTGGGATGGCTGTCATTCCCTCATTGACTTCCCTCCTTCTTATCAGGTCCTAACTACAGATGGGGACCTGCAAGAAATGAAGGTGAGTCCTGTCGGTGGCTCAGTGGTTAGAGTGTCAGTCTGTGCACTGGAGGGTCATGGGTTTCATTCTTGTCAAGGACATGCACCTGGGTTGCAGGTTCACTCCCTTCCCCCATCAGAGAAGATGTGGGAGGCAATCAGTCAATGTGTCTCTTTCACATCCATGTTTCTCTCCCCTCCCCTTCCCTTACTCTCTCCCTTCAACTCTCTCTGAAAATCAATGGGGAAAAAAGTATCCTCAGGTGAGGATTAACAAAACAAATTGTTCAATGGTGGAGATAGACCCTCCCCAAAGTATGACATCCCAACTGCTCTAGCAACATTTCCCCCAAATGTGGAGCAATTTAAAGTGACATTAGGATGTACCTGGATTCAACATTATCCAACAATGACTCGGAATGAATCTCGGGTTAGAGGCACGTGTCTTTAATCTTCACTTATTACAACAGAGAGCATGCTTTAGACTCACAGTCTTGGCAGGTGACAGCATCTAGTTAGAATTTAATAACATTCTTTAATACTGTTAAATCAGACATGATCTTAATGGAACATAGCGGTTTTCATTGCATTCGCTTTTATAATCACATTAGAGTCCTGGTGCACAAGTTCGTGCACCAATGGGGTCCCTCGGCTTGGCCTGTGGGATTGGGCCAAAACTGGCTCTCCAAAACCCCTGAGGGGTCCCGGGTTATGAGAGAGCACAGGCCAGGTAGAGGGACCCCCACCAGTGAATGATCGGAGTCAGGGATGTTGGCTAGCTGGGGAGGGACCTCAGGATGGCTCCAGGGTGTGCCTGGCCCTTCTCGCTCAGTCTCAATCAGCCAGAACCCAGCAGCAAGCTAACCTACCAATCGGAGGATCTATCCCCTGGTCGTCAGTGCACATCACAGCGACTGGTTGAGTGGCCTTAGCATATCATTAGCATATTATGTTTTGATTGGTTGAATGGATGACTGGACACTTAGCATATTAGGCTTTTATTATATAGATTCTATTTGTGACAAGTGATCCTACTTATCCTGTTTATATTAGTCACATCAAGTTTTTCTTTTGAAATTACTTATATACAAAAGTGAGTTCACTTAAGGAAAAGCATTAAGATAAACAAGAGTACAGGCAGTACACCAAACATCTCGAGGCTATTTTACAGGCATGGCAAACATTGTGTAAGGGGGGGTGTGAACAGACATGTACCGGAAACTGCTGGAATATACAAGCAGGGGTTGGGGAGGGGCCAGGACCCCATACAGAGAGGCCTATCTGAATTGGGCATTTGGGTGGCAGAAACAGGTACACAGAGATGTGAAGGTGGATGTCAGGAAGGATGAGGAGCTCAATGTGGTGGTGGTACGGAGAGGAGTCCTTTGAGGTCTGGCCATGGCCCTTGATTCCCAGAAGGAAAAACCTGGTGGATGGCTGCAGGGAAGGTCACCACAGATCGGATTGGTGTTTATCAGGAGGTTGGAACTGTCACCAGCAGAGACAGTGCTGTCTGGGCGGCAGGTCCCAGGCCCCGTCATCAGCCCTTCCTGCAGGGAACCCCATCTTGAGGTTCAGAGCCACGGATCCTAAACCAGAATTAGCCTGAGGAGAGAGAAGGAAAGGGTTAACCGCTCCCATAATAGGGCTCTGAGTTCTGGGCTTGATGGTCCATCCAGATCCCATCAGCCCGGCCTGGTGGCTCTGGAAGCAGGACTCTCCCCTCCCCCATCCTTCACAAGAGCAGCCTGAAGCCCAAAGCGGTTCAGGGTTGTGGTCCCAGGGACAAGTTCACCAAGAGAACCAAGGACTCCCAGTTCCTCCGTCATCCTGCCAGGACCCCGCACACCCCACCCACTTCCCCACTGATGGCTACAGGGAGGCCCAGGCTCTGGGAAGGTATCCCAGTCTGCGTGTTGAGGTGGCTGGCATCTTAGAGCTTGGGCTCAGGGAGGGAAGAGCCTGCCAGGCACACAGGATATACCTCTGACCGGATTCCGGCAGTCCCGGCCGCAGGCACTGAGGCAGCACCGGCTGCTGCCCCTGCAGTCTGCGTCCTTGTGGCACAGGTGCTGGATGGGGCTCAGGCAGCGCAGTCGGTCCTCGGGGCAGGTGCCCTGCTTCACTGCAACACAGGGGCCTGGGTGAGCCTGCCCGAGCCTCGGCCCTGGGGTCTGGGGCTTGGGGCTCGGGCGGTCAGCAAGGTGGAGAGGGACACTTACCTGTGACCCTGCGGACACACTGGCGGAAGCAGCTTTTGTGGCAGCACTTCATCTTGGCGGGACACTGGCTGTCGTCCACACACTGGTCAGGCACCGATTGAGGGCAGGGCCCATCGTCCGGTGGACATCCCCCATGTCTCTCTGGAAGAGACCCCCCCAGATATTGCGGCTGGAGGCAGACCAGAGTTCTGGATTCGGGGCTGACCCAGAACTCACCAGCTCTGAATTCTCCTCCCTTTAGTTCTTGCCTGTCCTTGGGCAAGTTATTATTTGTATTTTTTTTATGGACTTGCTTTTATTTATTTTTATTTAGTTCTTTCATAGAGGTATAATTGACATACAACATTATGTTAGCTTCAGATGTACAAGGTAATGATTCAATATTCGTATATATTTCAAAATGATCACCACGATAGGTCTAGTTAACATCTGTCACCATGCATTGTTAAAATTTTGTTCCTTATGATGAAAACTTTTAAGATCTACTTTCTTAACAACTTTGAAAGATGCGATACAGGGTCATTAACTGTAGATGCCTGCTGCACATGACATCCTCGTGACGTATTTGTTTTATAACTGGACGCTTGTGCCTTTGAATCCCCTTCATTCATTTCACTCGCCCTCCACCCCTCCGCTCCTGGCAACCACCGGTCCACTCTCTGTATCTACGAGCTTGGTTTTCTTGGTTTTGTTCTGTGTTTTAGATTTCACATGTAAGTTTTAGATTCCACGGCATTTGTCTTTATTTCACTCAGCATAATGCCCTCACGGTCCATCCACGTCCCAAATGGCTGGCAACTTTCTAAAAATGTTTACTCTAAGCCCCAGTTTTCTGTTTATGAAATGGGAAGCTGGACTCCCTCCTTCTGGGCAGGTTTGAGACTCAGATGGCATAATAGATGAGGGGCTGGGGGGAGAGAATGAAGTTCAAAATCTCCACCTGCACTAACCAGGCCGCGCCCGGCCTGGCCCCTGCCTGTCTCTCTGGCCTCATCCTCTTCACTCGTGTGGCTCCTGATCCTCTCCAGGCCTCTGCTCTTTGCAGGGGCTGGCGTTGGCCATGCCCTCGCCTGCTGCTCTGTCCTCCGCCCATTCATCAGGTCTCAGCTGAAGCACCACGTCCTCAGGAGACCCTGCCTTGCTGACCCTAGATTCACTCTGTCAGCCCACACACTTTCAGAGGCTCCTCCTTCAGTGCATGATTCGGTCTCTGTTTGCCTGCCTCTCTCACTTGCCCAGCAGCTGTGACAATAGACCCCCCCTTCCCCCGCTCGCTTTGCTCACCATTAGGCTGACACACAGTCATTGACACAAAACACTAGGGGCTCAGAGACTATTTGAAAGAACAATTTGAAGGGAGGCCCAGCCTCGCAGGTGTGTCAGGTGTTGGCAGCCTGGCACATTGTCACACTGCCACCACCGGCCACATCGGCCCTGTGCTCATCACTGCTGCCCGTGGCACTGTACCAGGGATCTGTATCCGCTGGGTCGTCCAGGCAGTCCTCTGAACGGTTCTAGAATGTTTTGCCCTGGAGCTTACCTAGCCACTTTTCTTGTTAGTATTTTGGGCCATTTCCAGATTTCATGCACAGAAATTACACATACACCCAGACATGCAGTCATGTATATATAAACATGTAGCATGAGTGTGAACAGAGACATGAACATACACACTCGGTCATGTGCACAACCATATGCAAAGAGCTATAGACCCCGGTCTCTTCAGAATACAATATGACCATTGAAAGTACCTGTTAGACACTTTCTGTCAGGGACTGTGCCCTGCCCTCTGTGTCAGACACCCAGACATGTCTGAGTGTGTGTGGAGGGAATCTGATAAACAGAGGTGACTGCACTTCCGCGGAAAATAAACCAAGACATCCCTTCCCTCAACTCTGCTGCTTTCCTCCTCTGCCTGAAACTCCAGAGAGCCAGGCAGAGGCCTCAGGGGGGAAACCCAGGAATGACGCAGATGCGATGAGCGACCAGCATGTGTTATTCCATTTACTCCTGAGAGAGAGGCACGAGACCCCATTTCACAAGGTTTGGGAGGTGAGTCTTCCTGATTACAAAGACCTGCCCTCAGCAGCCACCTTCGACACTGACTCAGAGGCAGTCTTTATCCTTGGGCAAGTGGCTTCCCGCTGAGCCTCGGTTTCCTCATCTGCAAAATGGGCATAGAAATAGCTGTGACCTCGCAGCCTTGCAGTGAGGAGGAATGTGGAGATGGCATGGACTCTCAGCCAGCATGGGGTCTGGCTGTGGAAGTTGACAGCACCCTTCCCTCCTCAGCCTTGAATTGTGAGCAATCTCCTCCCCAAACCAGCTCATTCCCAGGGAGAGAGCCCTGCCTCTGAGGAAGGCATACGTTAGGCTAGAGGGGCCCTGGCTGGTGTGGCTCAGTTGGTTGAACATTGTCCCATGTGCTGAAAGGTCACCAGTTTGGTTCCTGGTCAGGGCACATGCCCAGGTTGGGAGTTCAGTCCTCAGTTGGGGTGTATACAGGAGGCAACCAATTGATGTTTCTCTCACATCCATGTTTCTCTCTCTCTCTCTCTCTCTCTCTCTCTCTCTCTCTCTCTCTCTCTCTCTCTCTCTCTCTCCTTCTTCCTTTCTCTCTCTAAGACAGCAGTCACCAACCAGTGGTCCTTGAGTCCGAAAGGTTGGCACCCGCTGCTTTAAAAAATCAGTAGAAACCTTTTTTCCTTTCAGTTAGGCTAGATGTGGCACCGAGGATGCAGGGAACTGCTCCCCAGGGTCCTGTGGAGGGAGGACCTGTCCCCTTCACTGTCCCCTTCCCAAGGCAGAGCCAGGCTGCAGTGTATGTAGGTCAGAGTGTCCCAGCCCAGAATGGGATGGAAGTGGAGGCCTCGCCCAGGTGAGGAGGCACCTGTCTAGCTACTCCGGCAGCCTGGCCTTCCTCCTGGTGACAGGTCAGCCCCAGCTTTTTTTGGGGGGGAGGGGGAAGGGGGGAGAAAAGAAGGACTAGAGCTTCCTCCCAACAGATCCAGATCTAAAAAGAGCCACACCCCTACTCAATTCAGGAGTCCCTTCCACAGATGGGGCTGGGGACGGAGAGGGCCTGAGACAGACAGAAGCCAGACCAGGCACGGTCTGTTGGCCACAGAGGACGACAGGAAGGGTCACCTCCCTGCCATGTGGACCCACAGACCATACGCCTCCGTGGAGACCACCAGAGCAGAGGGGACAGACAGACCTGTCCCCTGACCCGCGCAGGCATGAACACACACATGTACACGGAGATGGGCACACGTGTAGCCAGGACCCTCCACTCAGCTGTGCATCAGGCACGGACAAGCACAGAGAAACTGGCAGGAAGATGTTTACAGACTTAGGCGTGGACAAGCTGACGGGCACAAACAAAACATGCCCACTAAGTAGGCATCCACAGCGCGTGTGCGCGCACACACACACACACACACACACACACACACACACACACTGAGTTACCTGCCTCCCCCAATCCTCAAGCTCCCCAGAGAAGCAGAAACCACTGGTACCTGGAGGAAAAGAACCCAAACTCACTCACCTCCCTTCCTCCTGCCTGAGACAGCCGGCAGCTGGCTTCCCAGAGCCAGGAGGGCCACCAGGAGGAGGAGGTTCCAGGCCCTCATATTTCTGCCGCGGCACCGATAAGGTCAGGGCCCAGGGGCCCCTAAATTAACACCTGCGGCCCCAGGGAGGCGATGGCTGAGTAAGGGAAAGAAGCCGAGGGGGCGGATGGAGTGGCTGCTGGTGGCTGCCTCATCCTGGCCCCACCCCCTCCCTGCCTGAGAACTCAATGCCAGGGTGCTTTTGCAAGAATGGACGATGGGTGGGGGCAGGACCTGGGTGTTGGGGCCAGGATCCAGGCCTGCCTGTCTTGCTGGCTTGGGCTGTGACCTGGAGCAAGTCTTGTCCCTCGCTGGGCCTCGTTGCTGTCTCTTGAGTTCTTGGGAATCAGGGCCTCTAGTCTGCAATCTGGTGCTACTTTTTGAATGCTAGCATTCTCCTGATAGGCTTTATCTAGAAGGAGAATTTTATGAGGCTGTTTCTTCCCTGATTTTGAAATTCATCTGCATATTAAAGACATGCTTTTTTCAATTAAGATTATTTCCCAGACATTTTCCTGGGCGATGAAGTGTCCTGCAATATCTTCATTTCTAATAGCGGTGTGGTATTTTGCAAGATTGATATGCCAAAACATATATAATCAATTCCCTTTCATGAAACATACAAGTTTCCTTTTTTATTTTTTCCACTCTTATAAGTAAAGCTGCAACAACAATCTTTGTACATACATTTTGAGTTAGATCTCTGACTATTTTCGTGGGGTTAAGTCTGTCAAATTAGAAATGCAAAGCCAGTCAAACTTCCAGTTAAAAATAAATAAGACCTGGGTTTGTAAGGTACAACGTGATTCCTATAGTTAATAATAGTGTATTGAATATTTGCACGTTGCTATGAGAGTAGACTTTAAAAGATCTCATCACAGATAAATTGTGTGGTGACGGAAGTTAGTAGATTTTTAAAAAAATACATTTTATTGATTTTTTTTTACAGAAAGGAAGGGAGAGAGAGAGCTAGAAACATCGATGAGAGAGAAACATCGACCAGCTTCCTTCTGCACACCCCCCACTGGGGATGTGCCCGCAACCAATGTCCATGCCCTTGACCCGAATTGAACCTGGGACCCTTCAGTCCGCAGACTGATGCTCTATACACTGAGCCAAACCAGTTTTGGCGGAAGTTAGCTAGATTTATTGTGGTGATGGGAGTTAGTTAGATTTATTGTGGTGATGGGAGTTAGCTAGATTTATTGTGGTGATGGGAGTTAGCTAGATTTATTGTGGTGATGGAAGTTAGATTAATTATGGAGAACATTTTGCAAATGTTCTATATACAAATACTGAATTATATGTTGTACACCTGGAACTACTATAATCTTATATGTCAATTATACCTCCATTAGAAAAGAACCAAGCCCCAGAAACAACCAGGCAAGCAAAAATGCAACAAAAATGCAAGGGCAGGACAGTGTTTCAGGCTTTGAATATCCTGAAATTGCATTTCGGAAAACCCACATCTGAAGTAAATGAAGAAATACAGTGATAACCAAAAAGAAAGGGGCGAGGGGAGGGAGGAGAGAGTACAGAGAGGATAAGTGGTGATGGAAAGAGACTTGACTTGGAGTAGTGAATACAACACAATATACAGAATATGTTTTAGAGAATTTTTTTTTTTAAAAATTCATTTATTTCAGAGAGGAAGGGAGATAGAAATATTAATGATGAGAAGATCATTGATTGGTTGCCTCCTGCACACCCACCCTCACCCCAGGGATCAGCCCACAACCCGGGCATGTACCCTGACTGGAAATCCATCTGTGACCTTCTGGCTCATAGGTCAACACTCATCAACTGAGCCACGCCAGCCGGGCATATTATAGAATTGTACACCTGAAGAAAAATAAATAAATAAATTTGATTTTTAAAAAAGAGAGCAAGTAAATTGGTGTGTGAAGCCTTCACCAGCTCTGTAGCAGACACTTCCTGTGTTTGTCTGCCCAGCATCCCTTCCTTTGGTGGAGTCATTAGGCCCCACCTCCTGTAAGGTTGCTTGGCTGTCAATCACCAGACACTTCCCCTGTCACAGGGAGATGGAAAGAGACTTGACTTGGAGTCTGACCCAGGTTGGAGCCACTGAACTCTTCCATAACCTCTAGCCTGTCCACTCCTCCATTAAAATCCTGAACAGAGAAGACAGTGGTCTAGAGAATGGTCTAAAATTCAGTTGCCATTGCTTGCAACCAAACATCCTTAATAAATCCGCTCACCAAATACAGGCTGTTATCAAAGAGGTAGGCAGCGGAGCGGGAGCAGAGTGGAGCTGGCAGGCACCATGCTGCCCCCTGGAGAAGCAGGTGCTGCGGTACCTGGTGGCAGTGGAGGAGCTCGTGGCAAAGGTGCTGGAGGACGAGGGGCAGGTAGACAACTGTGGACCTGGACACCGAAAGGAAACAGAACTGAGAGGGCCCTGCAGAAGGACCTCAGCCTCTCTGAAGATGTGATGTTTGCTTCAGGAACATGCTTATCAACATGCTTCACCCGCAGACGAGGGAATGATTGAGAAAGAGCAGAATCACCTGGATAAAGAAATAAAGAAACTCTGGAAACAACTTCATGTGAATGTAAACCGCCTCTTTGAGTCCCTAGGCAAACCGGAGCTGAAGGGTTTTAACCTGAAATCCCTCAACCAGATTGGGCTAGATGCTCTCAAGGTCATCTTGAAAGGATGAAATTCAATAAGCAAGAGAGGGGGCCTAAGACCAGCATGCCCTCTGGAGTCAGGGGGACCCAGAACTCTCCAACCTTGAAACCTGCAAGGACATGGTCTACCCTGCTCGGGGACTGAGGGGACAGGCATCAGGGATCTGGCCTCAGCTCCTGCATGCAGCTTCTTTATCTCAAGCACTTGACTGCTCTGTGAGGGCAGGAGGGAGGTGAATAGGGTGCTAATATATGGCGACGAGAGTGATTTGACTTTGGGCGGTGGGCACATGGTGCAATACACAGATCTTGTAACATGGAAACCCACACCTGGAACCTGTATGATGGTATTAACCTATAGCACCCCAATGAATTAAAAAAAACACAAACAATTAAATAGGTGGGCCCCGGGCAGGGAAGAAGGGAGAGGGGAAGAGCGGGAGTGTCATTCCAGCACTCCTCTCAGAAAGGAAGGCAGACATCTTCAAGCAATGTGTGGAGCAGAATTGGAATAAACCAGGAGGCTCTCAGGTGGCTTCTGAATGAAGGACAGGATCTTGGTGGTTCGTGCTTCACCACAACTGCCAGTGGTCTTAATCCAGCTTCTACAAGGGTTCAGGAATCTGGAGAAGCACTCTGTGTAACTTATAAAATAAGAGTCCAGAGACGAAACATAACTTTGGAAGGCATTATGGGTGCCAGAGGAGCTTGGCTAAAGAAACCAAGTTCTCCTTGTCTCAGGACCCCTTGCTTTTTATTAACACAAATTGTCCTAAGGCAAGGTAGATATACACACTTCAAAGGCCAGGTTTGGTACACAGAATCCATTGTCAGAATGAGAAAATTGCCTACAGCTGTTCAGGTGTTTGGCTAGGAGGAAGCAATACGATGTAGATTAAGATGCCCTCATCTGCCTGGCAGCAAGCAATCATTCATGCATCCCTTTCAGGTTTGGGGAAATGCCCTCAGCCATCTCCAGGTGATTCAACCCTGCTGAGGTTCTGGAATTGGCTTCCGGCACACCACTATCTGTGGAGCAGGCAGACCATGTCTCACCTCTGGTTCCATCTGGCCCGCGTTGCCTGCTTGCTCCCAGGTGAGCCACAGCGGGTGCTGCTCATCAGCCTCTGGCAGCGCTTCTTCCTTGGGAAGGCCTTGCGGAGTCCTGCACCTGGGACGCGTGGGAAACTACCTGCTACCATGCTTTGTGCACTCAGGAGGCCCCTCCACCACCTCTGAAAGCAGGGCCAGGGCAATGCGGTGTCTTTCCTGTTCATCGAAGGCTCAATAAATATTGCCTCAAAACAACGAAAGAATAAAAGGAAATGTTTGCCAATGGACAACAGTCTCATTTTAATTTGCCTTTCTCTGAATCTGGGTGAGGGAGAGACTTACCTCATGTACTGACACAGACCACTGTACTTCTCCTTTTGCCTGGTTCTGTACTTTGCCCATTTTTATTGGGGAACCGTTATTTCTATTATGGAGCTTTAAGAGCTGTTTATAGCTAAAACCGGTTTGGCTCAGTGGTAGAGCGTCGGGCTGCGGACTAAAAGGTCCCAGGTTCGATTCCAGTCAAGGGCATGTACATTGGTTGTGGGCACATCCCTGGCGGGGGATGTGCAGGAGGCAGCTGGTCAATGTTTCTCTCTCATCGATGTTTCTAGCTCTCTATCCCTCTTCCTTCCTCTCTGTAAAAAATATCAATAAAATATGTTTTAAAAAAAAAGAGCTGTTTATACATTAAGGGTACTACTAACTTGTCGTGCACAAGAAGCAGTATGGGGAGGTGGGTAGCAGATGTAAGCTGGTGTCAGGCACACCTGGCTTTGAGTACAAGAACCCCCAGTTCGAGCTCTGTGATTCTGAACGAATTACTTACCCTTTCTAAACATGTTTGCTCTTCTATAAAATAAAAAATAGTAAGAGAGAGATGATATTTATTTTATAGGATGGTTTTGAGAATTGAATCAGATGAGTTTGATATGGAGGGTTGAGAACAAATATGCAATACCTTAGTCAATAAAGAAATGTTGTTTTTTAAAAAGTGGATTTATCTTGATAATTCCAAACGCATAAAATCACATATTGATTCAGGTCAACCATCAACATCGCTTAGGAAAGAAGACAATGCTCTGTGTTTGGTGGGATCAGGAAGGTGTGGTGTATTATGAGCTTCTACAACCAGGTGAAACTGTTAATACTGATTGCTACTAACAACAAATAATCCATCTGAACCATGCTTTGATTGTAAAATGTTCACAATGGGCCAGAAGATACGGCAAAGTAATTTTGCTTCATGACTCACCATCACACACTTCAAAACCAGTTAAAGGCACGTTAAAAGATCTTGCCTGGGAAGTATG